TGTTTTTGGATGTTGTCCAGATGGGGACTACCAAAGAAGGATGCAAGGGAGAGATGCCTATGTTCCCAACATACAACATTTTTAGCAATGAGTTATCAACACCTGATAAACAGATGTTTCTCACAACTTGCTTTCCCCAACAGAAAATCCAGTCACCTAAACAAAACACCCCCACAATTTCATCCCATGTCTAAGTCAGGATGACAAAAAAAATGCTGTTAGTAGTCTCAAAGGTAACAGCTTAAAGGTTGCAGTAGGAGACCAAAATAAGCAGTTTTGAACAGATGTGCAGGTGGCAGCTGCTACTTGCAGAGAGAACTTCATTCATTGCAGATAGAAAATGTTCTCTCTGATCTTCATTCGATACACCGTGAGGGCTTAAAAAAATGAATGGCTGAAATGCTCTTGATTTAGAACAGTAAGCCAGCTTTTTTCTTATCAGTATTTCATGAAAAACTAGCAAAAATACATCAAGATGACAGTTCAGAAGTAAGTCGTCTTCCTTAACAGATTCCCCTAGCAGCATGGGCTGATGAAAGTACCTAGGCCTACTTAAATAATTTAAGAGGAAATACAAAGCTATCCTGAACTTCAAAGCGAAAATAAAGTATATTAATTTCTCTTATTTTAACCCATTGTCTTTCAGGAAATCTGGAAAGTTGTACTTCTGGTCCTTCTCCTATCATAAATGCTAACGAATAAAGAATGTAACTGTGAATGGAAGAAAATATCAAGTATACTTCTTCCTAACAAAGAGGCGTACAACAGTTTTCAAATATTCTTAGGGATTTTATTTTTCCACTGATGAGAACTGGTTTGCGCATTTGTAGTTCCCAGTGAAACTGGGAAATATAAGACCTTTTTCTGGTCTTATAAAGGAAAGGCTGAAATAGGTTTTGGGTTTTTTTTTTTGTTAAGCAATGAATTAGCTTTTTAAAGAAATCCAGGTAAGTTTTATAGGTTTTTTTTCCTACCAATTCCAAATCTATCTCCTGTCATGTAGTTGGCTCTGGTATCAAAGATGGACTTGGGACAGCTGTCAAGAGGACATTCTCCAAGGACACAGCAGACTCTGTATAATACTGTAGTGCAGCCTTGTATCCTCGTTGTTGTAAATATTCAATCCGTCCATGATCAATCAGCCGTTTACAGAGGCAACCTATCTCCTTTCGTTCTTCAACAGTAAGTATCCTTGTTTCACAAAAAGGAGGAAAACAACAACGACATGTCAGAAGAATAGTGCTGTTAATTAACATTAGTAGTTAAGCTTAGAAAATCTACTGAAATCACCATAAGTTCATTTCAACTTGGGCAAGCGTGACTGTTTACATATTTTGAAACGTATGTCCATGAAAACTGTCTTTTTAAAGTAGAATATTTTTATAAATTTAGTAATTAAAACGTTTGATAAATGAGTCATTTTGAGGACCCAAACCAATTTCATATACCACTATACATAATTTTGCTTTTCTGCAGGAGGCCATTTGCTAGAAAAAAAATTACATACCCTTGTAAAGTATCAGAACCACTCTCTGTCTTGCTAAATGTTTGCTCGTATTCTTCTGTGTCGTTAGTTTGATTTTCACTTTCTTCACTCGCAGAGGCTTTGGTTGTGGTCTCTCGCATGCCACAAGTGGCCCAGCTACTCATTCTCTGAAAATAATGAAATTCTACTGGTCCAAGTCCTACTGATTTAAAGAACTCCCTGCCTACATAGTGTGTCCAGTCACACTTGTGATGGCAGCACAGTGCAATAACAATTCCAGCTACAGGCTTACAGTCTTCCTTGTTGCTTTCATTATCAGCAGAATTGTTAGAAGCCACCTCTGTCTTATCATTCCTGGAGCGTTTTGGTGCAGGCTCTTCATCTTCTCCATCACAGCAAGTTGTATAACTTTCAACCAAGCATCTCAAAGCAAGATCTGGGGAAAAACATATATAACCCCAAAAAAAAATAGTGCTGAACGCCATGCCATTATTTATAGAGGCTGTATTGTGGTTGGGAATGTACTTCCCACAAGGAATAATTAAAGTATATGTCACAAACTAAGACAAAAAGCAATTTGAAGGATAACTAAAAATTACAAGCACGCTTTGAAAACATGAAACCCCTAAATGCTAAATAAATATTATGAGACCTCTGGAGCTACTAAGGGCTTATACTCTTGAATATTTGTTCTACACAAGTGAATTTGAAATACTTTGGTTAACAAACTGGCATATTGTAGGAGGATCTCCTCCCTGTAAAACATGCAAGCATTTGCTCTAAAAGTTTGATATCTAGGACACAGTCTATTTAGTATGTACATGTACTTCTTAAACACTTAACTGTGTCATCTTTGTAACAGTACCTATATAGGTGTCATATTTGAAATGTCTTTCTCTACTTAGTAGACATGTAACATTAGAGAAAGTGTATTAGTTGAAAATTATCAGGACAGAAACACATTCTTCTCATTTGTTTGCTTGTAATATTCAGACAGCCAATATAAATTTAGAAAGAAAAATATTTCAGAGTAGAGGCGATGGTGTTTAAAAAAACCGCAAAAAAACCCCAAAACTTTCAACAGTTTACACTACATGACCCATACCACCATACACTATTCTTTGTTCTACTCTAGTAGCCTTGCATCTATTGTGCATTTACTATTCCACTCAAGTCCATAAATATTTAGAATGTTAATTGCTACATTCACCAACAAAGGGTTAGAGGGCAAGAAAAGCTTAAAAGGACAGTTTGGAAGATCAGTCCATTCAGATTGTAAGATTTAGTATCCTAACTTTTTGCAGTTAACACATAGATAATTCATACCTGTCGCAGCACCACACAAATGCTTCCCAATTCCTACCACTGGTAGTTTTTTCTTCTCCAAAATAGGTACCTTATCTGGAGGGAAGGGAAAAAAAAACCCAAAAAACCAAACAACCACACACACACACAATCCACAACAACCACAGAACCTCTATTGTTACAGTTGGGACAATATTTTTTCTGGATAATATAATGTCAGCGCACTTTAAACAAGAAGTAAATGTTTACCACTACTAAAAATACTGTGGTCTGTACATACAGTTATAAGTTATTAAAAGGGAAGTTTCTTTTTCTAAAACAAATTAAGAGTATCAGGTGCTGTGGCTGAGAAGCATATTCTTCTTTTTCTTAAACAACTCAACCTTGTCCAAAGGCAAAGGATGTGTTTTAATGCTGTTATGGAGCAATATGATTTTGTTTCTGAGCAGCAACACTACTACGTAGCAGTAAAACGATTACCAGAGAACATTGGACTGATTTGCCTTAACAAAATTATCTGTCGCCCAGAGATTAGCTCCAGCTAAATAGTAATAGAAATACGTTGCCTTTTATTAAAATGGAGCATTAGCATAAATGCAAAATCCTGTATTTCTAAGATAGTTACATTTATCTATTTAACCATTTCAGCCTTTCTGTACTGCCTATGAAAGGTCAATGTGACATTAATGCATATCCTGACGACAGGTGTTCCCGCAAAATCTATAGTACTGATATGCGTCATATATCAATGATATTCATGACCTGCTTCATTCTGCACACCTCAAACAAACAATGCAAAGGTGTTTAGTCCTGCAAGTTCTAAACCACCTTCAAAATGTTTTTTGTTCGGTGTTTCTCACCGATAATGATATCCTGTAAGTGTATAAAAAGCAGAAAATTTTAAATCCCCATTTAATATATACATATGTGCGTGTGTAAATACGTATATCCACACAGCATTAACGCGTCCAAGCAATCACTAAGAATAATCTTCAAAACCAAGTACATTTAAGCATGCTATATACAAATTGACTTGAACTCCAGTATTCAAAATGTAAATTAAGCCTGTTTCAGAATTATGCAAGCCAAGAAGGAACTTACTTAAACATAAATGTTGAATATCAACTTGAAGCCTTTCAAATATAGAATCTCTCCTTTTATGTTTTCCATCCACCTGTGTAAACAGAACAAGATCATTAAGTAGGGCTGGCCACTAATAATTATAATTTTGCTGCAGGTATTCATGTTGAACTTTTTTCTGTCAAGTCAGCATCTGTACATTTCCAACATTAGACACTGGGGTTTTCATCTAATAAAGTTGCTATCGGCAAAGTATGGAATGTAGGCAATCGCATGTCCAAAACTTTTAACATTTCAAAGGCTTTATGTTATTTTTGAAGATAAAAAGCAAATACTAACAGCTTCATTGACAACAGTTTAAAAATCATACTCTGCTAATGTGACAATATCCTCTCTTACCTTGAATCTTGTAGTTGCCCTTTCCACAAGCAAAAACTGAACATTTTCAACATCCTGTAAGGCAACATCAACCCAATGAGACAGCTTTCCTCGCCCAGCTCCAAACTCAACATAACATCTTCCTGGACCAAGTAAATGCAATTTTTCCATGTTACCTAAAATAGAAGCCTACAAACATTAAAAGATTATTTACGAGCCAAGCAAATATATACAGCAAATATATACACTGTGTATTGTAATGCCTGATAGAAAACACCAAACTGCAGAAGACTCTTTCAAGTCTTCCCTTCCATGAGGGATTAGGGAAAGTATCTTGTGTGTACAGAGGAAAGGGATTATAAATACTGGCTAGTCAGCATCACCCTGCCCTGCTTCCACTGCTCACAGAACTCCACCCAGAAGTTTTTGCAATGGATTTTTGGGATCAGGTACATATTACAATATTGTTCTCTGCTGATTCTCAAAGTAGCCATCCAAAATATGGGTACTGTACTGGATTTTCTGTGAAGCATCAGCGCCTGCAGAGCCCTCTCTCTCTGCTGCAGTTACACATTTTGTAATACATAGGAAAGGAAAGTAGAGCACGGGAAGAAAGTACAGAAAATAGACATTTCTCACTTTTTAGATTTTCCTCCCAAAACTTTCTATTTTGCTACAGTATGCAATCCATCCCTCTTCAAGTTCCTGCTGTTTAATATACATTAAAAAGGCAGAAGGTAAACTCAGGCTCTCTAATCCTTTTTATGCATCTGTTACACAACCAGGAAATCTAGGACCAGCTCTTACAGAAAAAGTAAAAAATTCCTTTTACTTCTTAGCAAATACAACATTTTACCTTTTTTAGCTCGGGTTTATTACGAGTTAACATATAAGTAAAAATTCAGAAGAACACCATGCAGTTTGTGATTTATTTCAGTATCTTAATAAACTTTTGTTACTAACACTTAACAAAACAGCCATTCAACGGTTATATGTATGCTATTATTTGAAAGGCATAGAGTTATAGAGCGTATCAGATTTCCTCTTTATGAAGTGACTAGCATTATGCATGCACAGTCGCTCAAATTTTCAGCAGCAGAATTCCACGTTTAAAGCATCTATAGTTATTAGTAAAGCAGTGACCATACCTGTTGTTTCAAGTGTTTGAAAGCGGATTCCCTATTCTTTGGGTCATTTAAGGCTTCTTGTAAAGCCTGGTGGGACAGTATTTGTTCCGTAAGGCGGAGTTCCAGGCCTGCATGCAAATGCAAAACTTTTAGGTATAGGTTTCCAGTTTCAAGAGCGTCTGCTTTTGTAACACACACGTTACAATAGTCAGACATGAGCTGAATTTGTAGCACTAACAAAATAGCCTGTTGGGAGCATAAATCTATTGTCATATGTTTATAACAGAGCTGTATTGTTATCTGTAGTGATATTTGAGTGGGAAACA